TACAAATCGGCGATTTGTCGCCACGCTTTGGTAGGGGAGGTTAGCTAAACCGCCCCTATAAATGCCCTTGAGTCGCCCCTACAAAGCCTATGTGTAGCAGTGAATTGATCAATGATGCCAACCATGAACTCTCACATGGACCCCAACCATGGATGATTTCCTTTTATTAAAACACGGATCAATTTTATTAAAACTCGGAACGATAGATATTAATCATGGGAAAAAAGCATCACAAACTATTCAATTTGTACGATGATTTCCTTTTATTAAAACACGGATCAATTTTTTTGGATCAAATTAAAGCATCACGTCTAGGAGTCCATTACATGACAATTCATCAGTTGAACGGCATTATTAGCCATTAGTGCGAGTTGAAACGCTAACACCTGTAGATTGGTGAGGATGGCACTGCATCATATTTTTACTGCAAATTCAAAAGTGTGTCACGAGATGATGATCATAATTCATCCATTCATTAAGCTGTCATTTGCTCATTCGCTACACTCAATTATTCGTCACTCACCATAAATAAATTGCATAAAATGTACAATTGCGGATTCCTGTTCATTCTTTTAGGACACAAAATAAGATCATCGTGGGCCTTAAATACTGAGGGCTCTAGTTTGATGTCCTAAACCCGTGTCCCGTTCAAATTTTGGCAACTTTAGTAAGATTTGGCTTCTGTTGATCGTTACATGGAGTGCTCTTTTGGTGTGCCTTTTCGTCTTTTAATGTGGCGGCATGCACTGTGAATCTTGACCGGAATTAAGCTAGTCGTCGCATGCAGCGTAATCCAGAGAAACCCAATGTGCCAAGCAAGATGGATATATGTCTAGTTTTTCTTTGCAACATCACATGCGCTGACCACATGTCTGTTTACCAAAACCCAATGTGCCAGCGTAATGCAGAAGCAGCACTGCTACTTCACTCGATCTAGTGGGCTGGTGGCCTTGAATCGTCGTCCCATGTGAGACGGCTGAAGGATCGATTCTTTCAACTTGTTGCTCACAAAAATTGAAAGATTCTTTCGACAGGTCAAGTCTAGGAGTCCCATGTGAGACGGCTGAAGGATCGTTGAATATTATTACCTATGTATTCATTGCCGTCCAACCCATTTGGATGTTCGTGTCATGGCTAAGAATAGTACTAATACGGGTGTCATGGCTAAGAATAGTACTAATACGGATCCGGAGTAAGTACAATATAATGTTCATCTCTTTCAGACGGAGAGGGACTTACTTTCAGACGGAGAGGGACTTACGCGGCAGGAAGACTAAGCTATGTAAGACCTACTCCCTCCGTTCCAAATTATAAGTCGCTTTGACTTTTTTGATACATCTATTTTGCTATGCATCTAAATATAATAATATGTCTAGATACGTAACAAAATAAATAAATAAAAGTCAAAACGACTTATAATTTGGAACGGAGGAAGTAGATGCTAAGTCGCCTTCGAGCCCCATTTTTGCTATTTTACATAAAATCGTCGTTTTCACTGTGTGCGGACCTCTCTCTTTTGGTGCTAGCTAATAATTTGAGGGCACATGTCTTTGTCATGCAAGGGAAACCGTAAAAAGCACCAGCAATTGTATTTCAATGACATTTAAACTCATATCTGACAGTCAATCACTGCTACATAAAAAGGTTTGTAGCAATGGAACATTTTTTTTTGTAAAGACGGCTGGTGATGAAGTTGCCCCTACAGTGGGCATGCTCGGAACCCACGAGACTAGCTGCCCTAACAAATGGCACAGTACGGGCGACAGATGATATGAGCCGCTCCTACAAATGGGTCGATTTGTAGGGGCGGCTCACTCACCAGCCGGCCCCGGTGTTGCGATTTGTAGGGGCGGCTCAATCACTAGCCGCCCCTACAAATCACACTTGTTCATCATTGATAATCATGAACAGTTGTGATTTTTCTTTTTAATCTCTGGGTAAAATTTGTAACTAGTCTTTCTTCCTCGTACTAACTCCAAATGTGATGATTTTTTTTTCTAAAATTTTCTAAAATCATGCCCTATCAAGTTACTATGTTGATTTGGTCATTCTTTTCGTTTGACAAAGTTTGAGCAATTCAAATTTTCAAATTTAAAAAAATGACAAGTTCTAACAAGATTTTGAAACACCAAAATGATTTCAGCTGAAAAAGTGATGAGTACCAAAGATGTATAACTCATCAAGATCTATAACTTTTATTTTGGTTATTTCTTCATCTGACAAAGTGATAGTAAACATTGTTCACAAATCAACATGTCTCTCGTATAGTTCATTGTAACGGGTCATATATAAACAAGGGCTTAGGGTTTCTTCAGTCATACTCTCCTCACACGCATACAGCCGCCTCACTCCTCTCCGTCTTCTTCGCTCTTGCGGTCTCGAACGTGGCCCGCCCCTCCCTCTCTGTCTCCTTCCCTCTCGCGGCCTCGCCTACACCTCCCTCTCCGTCTCCTTCGTCCCACTCCCCCACAGGCGGCGGCGCCTCTCTCCTCTTCACCTCCCTCTCCTCGTCCTCCTTCCGCAGGGCCGGGCGGTGGTGACCAGGGCCAGCGGCTGCGGGACGCGCGGTAGCGCCTCGAGCCGGCGGCGGCGCGCCTCGCGGTGGTGCCGTTCGCTGACGTGAAGCGCGGCGCCCTGGGTCGTCGGCAGCGGGACGCACGGTGGCGGTGGAGGCAGGCCTCTCCCTCCCCCCGAGCGCGAGCTGCAGTAGGCACGCCTCTTCCTCCCCCGAGCGCAAGCGGCGGCAACCCCCGGTGGCTCTCTCGGCTCCCGGCGCGGATCCGGCGTCGATCTGGCAGTGGGCGAGCGGATCTGGCTGCGTGCTCGTTGATCTGGCTATGAGCAAGCAGATCCGGCTGCAGGCGAGTGGATCCATCGACGGTGAGTTCGGGGAGGCCGGATCTGTCGGCTGCACGCTCTTGGAGGCTGGATCCGTCGAGGGGCTCGACGGTGGCAGCTCCCGGTGGCGGCAGATCCCAGCAGCGCACGGTACCGGGCTCGGTGGGCTTTTTTTTTTAATTCGTCAAATTGTTTACGGAGGCAGGCATTTGCAACCACCTCCATTAATCTTCATTAACGGAGGCCTCTGATTGGAGGCGGTTGCCATGCCCGCCTCTGTTAATCTATTTTGCCCGCCTCCAAAAAGCTCTATGTAGTCCTGCTGTTTACCGAAACATGTTTGTCACCTTCTAAAAACCTCGTCGCAGACGAGAGTAGTCCAAGAACATGGGTTGGCTTTTGCGACGAATTCCACCATTTGTTTATGGCCAATCCACACGGCCATATCATTGCCGTGCAGGTGCAGCGAAATCCCCATTTGAGAGGGACTCGTTAGTTTCTTTCAACTTTTGCATGAAGACAAAATTGAATATGTGTGTTTCCTCTAGACTCTTTGGAAGCGTGGTAAATTAAAAGTTCTCTTGAGTCTTGACGGATGGATTGGAGTAAGACCGTTCCATTCCACGGGTGAATTGTTAAGGTCCTCTTTAGAATCTTTTTTTCTGTTCTCTATATTTTTCGGTAAGAAATGGATCGATTTTGTGAGGAAAAATAGTGATAGTAGTAGTAATAACAACAATACAGTTTTCACAGATAGTATTTGGATTACTTTTTAAGTGGTCCACAGCTCCTTAGGAACGGAAAGCATGTGAAATTATTGATAGAAGAATCGAACAATTGAGAAAACAAATGTCATTTTCATTTATTTATAGAAAAAAAAAACACCACGCTGCGGCCCATCTCAAGCACAAATTTCAACTCCCCTCAAATAGAGGGGGAGATGTAGCTCCCCCAAAAGCCAACCCCCATCCCAACTACCAGAATTCCCTTGCCGCGCCCAGGCAGATCTTGAGTCTCCTGAGAGAGATGTCGTTGCCCATGGAGGCTTCCAACTCACGCCTTGGAGGTGGAGGTGGCCGAGCTCGTGACGGTGGAGGTGGAGGTGGTTGAGCTCGCGCCAGTGGAGATGGATCCACTTGAGCTCGCGCCGGTGGAGGTGAATCCGCTCGAGCTCGCGCTGGTGGAGGTGGAACTACTCGAGTGCAGGGCTAGGGCCGCGGCTAGGGTGCGAGTGCCTCTACATCTGGGCGTGACTGCGCGAGCGAGAAGAAGACGCCGAGGCAGAAAAGAGAAAGAACAAATAATAAATTGTATTTTGCCATGTGGGTCCCACATTTTGGTAGAGCTTATTGGTGATATGCTAGAGCATCTTCTCCAATATCATGAAAAAAACAGTAATGGTGATCACCAATATCACCTTATTGGGGATGAAATATTGGTGAGCTGCTGGAGTTGCTCTAAGAAAGAAGATGCCATGTGTTGGTATTGTTGCCACCAATGCATTGCCGGTCCAACTCAGTTCTTCGAATGTGCTCATAGGGGTAGGATGTGCGTGCGTGCGTCATAGGCAATGTTTTCCTAAACGGTAAACGGTCTTTACATGGTCGCCCTTCGTTTAGCATTTAGACTGTTTACACGGTGTTTAAACGAAATTAAACGGTCTAAACGGTTTTATACTTAAAAAATACATATAATTATATATGTGCATGTAAAAAATCAAGTACTCTAGCATTTATATATATTTATCCGAGTAAAAATCAATTATTTTGGTATGTATATATATTTATGCATGTGAAAAGAACTAAATATAGATATTTATGCATGTAACATATTAAGTGTACACATTTATAAATATAATAAACTTAATATATCTTGTGTCACAATCAAACTACTACTATTCCACGGCAGACTTAATTGACGCGTGCTAGATGTTCAAAGTTCACTATTAATTGGCTACTAATAATATTCCGCTTTGTTGAACTCCGCATACACATGGAATAATCTTCACTAATATATTGACAAGTCTGTAAACATAAGATCATATCCTTCCCACGAGGCACGAGCTGTATTTATACAAGTACCTCGTTTGTTGCGACCATATGCAGTAGATACAAAAGCTGTCTAGTTAGCCAAGCGTTGTAGCAACGAGAACGTTTGCACCCATGGAGTTCTTCTCCGACGAAGCATTGGCCATTTTCGTGCCCATCCTGGTGTATTGGGTGTACTCAGGCATGTACATGGCGCTTGGCCAGTCCATGGACAAGTACAGGCTGCATTCGAGGAAGGAGGAGGACAGCAAGAACCTGGTGTCCAAGGGGGAAGTTGTTAAGGGCGTGCTCCTGCAGCAGCTAGTGCAGGCGGCCGTATCTGCCGTCGTGTTCATGGTACGTACGTTAGTGCACTCCTTAGTCCTTACTCCTAACATGCATGCATATAATTGCGGATACTAGATTGTGGATTCTAAAGTTTTTGTATACAACACATGCAGCTCCGGGGAGATAGCAGCTCAACGGTGGCATACGATGAAGAAGCACAAGGATCAACATGGTACTCCTACCTGACAGTGGCACGGCAGTTTGCGGTGGCCATGATCGTGCTAGACGGGTGGATGTACATGTGGCATAGGTACATGCACCTCAACAGGTTCCTGTACCGCCACATCCACTCGTGGCACCACCGCCTCGTCGTGCCCTACGCTTTTGGCTCGCAGTACAACCACCCCATCGAGGGCCTCCTGAACGACACACTCGGTGGGGCGCTGGCCTTCGTCGTCTCAGGCATGTCACCGCGTGCATCCATCTTCTTCTTCTCACTCTCCACCGTCAAGGGTGTGGATGACCACTGCGGCCTATTGCTGCCAGGGAACGTGTTCCATCTCTGCTTCTGGAACAACACGGCGTACCACGACGTGCACCACCAGCTGCGTGGCAGCAGGTTCAATTTTTCGCAGCCATTCTTTGTGACATGGGACAAGGTCTTTGGGACGCATATGCCTTACCTGCTGGAGGAGAGGCCAGGTGGTGGGTTTGAAGCGCGTCCCATGCGGTGAGAACAGTCACCAGCAATAGCAAAAGCATCTAGTATGTATGCATGCATAGGTGATGCGCGAGCTCCTGCTGAATTCATATGTCAAAATGAAGAGAAGTATCATAATTATGATTAGAGAAGCACTTTTATTAATCTTATTTTCTTTTATTGTATCTTGTTCTTTTTTCTTTGCAAAATCTTAATTAGTAGGGCCATAGGGGCAACCGGCCTTGATCTCCTGTTTCATAATGAATTTACATTTTCAAATATATAGTTGCGGAAGGTACACAATATCTATATATTTTTTTACAAGTTTAAGATTGTTCTACATATGCATATATACTTTTTAGAAAATGAGAGAGGCACTCTTCACACTACGCCGCACTACACTACAGTGTTATCTCCCCTCCCACACACCGCTTCTCATTCACCACATCCCCACCAAAAGCCCTTGCCCACCATGTCATATATGTTGTAAGCTCATGAAGCAAGTGGTGATGAAAGTGAGTGAGTAAGAAAACGAAGCCACTCGGATCCACGTGGCAGCTCTCGGGGTTCTTGCTTTCTTGCTGAGAACGATATGAAGGTTTGGGAGGAGGCCTGCATCATCCTGCATTGCTCTCTCCTTATTTGAAACAAGTCACGTAGGTGAGCTGCTGATTATATCGAAAAGAAGAAACCTAGACCGGGCAATACAACCAAGCAACAAAATTCTGCAGCGCTCTCTCGTCACTTTGAAAGGGGTGCGATGGTTTGTTTACTCTTTCCTCCACTACTACAGAATTAGACATCATTGTCGGTCCCATCACTGCCAGATTTGAGAGAACCGGCAGTGATGTATCTTCACTGCCGGTTCTCAGCTTGAAAATCAGAAAATGATTGGAGTTGGACCAAAACCGGCAGTGAAGATCCACATCACTGTCGGCTCGTGGCTTGCACCGGCAGTGGCTTGATAACCACTTATCATTGCCGGTTCTAGCCAAGAACCGTCAGTCATTCTGGGCTATCACTGTCGGTTCAAGACAAGAACCGACGGTGATAACTTACAGTACAAAAAGCTGGCGCCATCCTATCCTTCCTCCTCTCTTCCATCCCAAGCATAAAGGCGCGCGTTTGGGTCGCTCCCTCCATTGTTGCGGCTGCTCTTTACCATGAAGCTAGCTCTTGGATTTAGAAGAATGGGTTGATCTTCTTGCTTTAAGGTTAGTAACAAGCATCCACTCCATTGATTTTGTTGCATAATTAGCGTTGTTTTGATAGCTACATTGCTTGATTCTCATTCTAGTTCTTTCTCCAATCTAGAGAGCACTTTTCCAATTGGACTTTGTGCAAGGCTTCCAAGCAAATTATGGTGAATCCATCATCCAAATGGTTGGTGTCTTTGAACACATTTAAATTCCTAGCTAATTACATAGTGGTCAAGATGATTGTTAGTATGTGAGGCTATAATTAGTTCTTGTTAGGAGTAGAGTAGATTCTTTTATAATTTTGGTGAGCAAATTAATCTATGTGTCACCTACCAACACATTGTTTGGAGCTACATTGCTGTTCATGGTCATATCTCCAATTTTAGTGTTTTTAATTAGTGTCTCCATTTTTATGTGGCATGGAGTAGAATAATTCTTCTTTATTATTGTGCAATAATTGTTTTTTTATGGGGCTATGATTTTCAATTATATGGCCGAGGCTACCAATTTTAGTTTTCCAATAATTAGTGTACAAGAATGTTTTCCAAAAATGGGGTGACTAAATTAAATAAGTGTACAATAAATTATAGTTTCAAGTAACAACTGTTGTTCATGAAGCTCCACTTGTTATTAATTTCTCTATAATTACTGTCTCAATATTTTGTTGTGCAGAGATGGATCGAGAGTGGATCTATCTGTCCCGAACAGACAAATGATACATGCAAGGCGTCGGCAAGTTTCTCACCGATGTCAAAGCCCATGCTGGGAAAGGGAACCCTATCTTCTGCCCATGCAAAGATTGCATGAATCAAAGGAAATGGGCTCAAACTGAGTCTATATGATCGCACTTGATTACCAGGGGGTTTATGCCAAACTATACGATATGGACTATGCATGGCGAGGTTAGTGTGAATGTACCACAGGAAAATGATGATGATGTGGCCATGCCTGACGTAGCCGTCCACGAGGTTATTACGGAAGCCGGTGTCAACACGAAACCTATGGCCACAGTTAATGATGTGTTTAGGAACATGATAGCTGACAACACGTAGGATAACGATGGCATTTCTCAGTTGCTACGTAATGTAGAGAGCAGATGTCTTAGTGAAATACAGCTGAGAAAGCTAGGGAAAATAAGACAAGATGGCAAAAAATCATTGTATACGGATTGTCCAGTGAGCAAACTAGAAGCCGTCATCATGCTGTTAGAGTTCAAATCGACAAACGGATTGAGAGATAAATGCTTCGATCAGTTGTTAGGTATAATAAGGAAACTGCTCCTAGGAAAAAATGAGTTGCCAGAAAAGACATACCTAGCCAAGCAAATGATCTGCCCCATCGTCCTCGAGGTTGAAAAAATCCACACGTGTTCCAATGATTGCATATTGTATCATGGAGACGAATACAAAGACTTGGATGCGTGCCCCAAGTGTGAAGTTCCATGGTACAAGGAAGGGCTGTCAATTGAGGGTACCAAGACCAGAGGAGGTTCCGTAAAGGTCGTTTGGTATTTTTCTATAGCTCTCTGGGTGCATAGGCTGTTTGCAACTGCAAAGTCAGCCAAGCTATTGCACTGGCATGGCGAAGAGCGTAAGAAAGATACAATGATGAGACATCCCACCGATGGGAAGGACTGGAGGACTATCAATACTATGTTCTATAAGAACATCGGTGGAGAGGTAAGACACCTTTGGTTTGGTTTGAGCACAGATGGGAGGAATCCTTTCGACCAGGTTAGAAGCAATCATACCACCTGGCCAGTGATGCTCTGTATATACAACCTTCCACCTTGGCTCTATATGAAGCGGTCGTACATCCAGATGCCACTACTGATCCAAGGGCCAAGACAACCTGGGAATGGCATCGATGTGTTTCTAGAACCAGTGATCGATGAACTAGTGGTGATGTTTGAAAAAGGTGTCAAGGATGTTTGGGGCAAGTACAAAAATGAACATGTCATGATCAAGGCAGTACTTATCGCTACAATCACCGACCTGCCAGGGCGAGGTTGCTTGTCCGGAGAGAAGAAAAAAGGCTATACTAGATGTGTCGAGTGCTTGGACGACACCGATGCGGTACATCTACCAAAGAACTCAAAGATTATTTATATGGGACACCGTAGGTTCCTACCTAAGGATCACCCTTACTATAGGAATAGAAAAGATTTTGATGGGACTATTGAGAAACACTTACCTCCAAAATATCGAGATAGGCCTGCAATACTTCGAGAAGTCAACAAACTGGATGTTGTCCTTGGGAAGGGGCACTACTACATATTAACTTATCACTATTGCCACTTTCACTGCCATAGCGATAGAAGTGATGGTGTGATACTTGCACCGTCGAGGCCTCCCAGGACTAAAACTGGTAGTTCAGACTTCTACCACCGACAGGTTAACAATAGATACGGCAGTGGTATTGGGGTTGCATTTCCTCCATCGCATGAAAAGCTGGGCCGACTGGGATACGCATTTTGCCTGCCGGCCCTAAAGTAGCGTTTGGTCAACCGGTGGTAAATTCAACGTGAGTGTTGGACTGCCTCAATTTCCAAGGGCGTCAAATCACCATTACTTCCACCACCTGAAGCCTTTGAGCCACGTACCCACTGCTCTATATATACTTCTAGCCTGGTGCCCTTTGAAATGACCCCTCTTGTTCATCCATCATCCCCTTCTCTTCCAATCTACAAAGAAAATATCGGACAGCCCCATCAAGTTTCCAAGCAGCCCATCGACTAGGGAGGACGAATTGCCTTCCCAACACTCCTCCGAGGAGAACGTCGTCTCCGACGACGGGATGTCTAATTATAGTCCTCTGTGGAGCTCCGAGAAGGACCTAGAGGAGGAGGACGAGGACGAGGACGACGCCGACACCGACGCCAAAGACGACGACGACTCTGACGATGACTCCGACAACTCAGACTCTGACTCCGACTTTGCCTCGCCTCCTCCCAAGCGAGCAAGGATTAAGTTGTGTATAGTTAGTATAAGTAGTTTTAATAGTTTGGGTTAGTTATTATGCTTCTAGACGAGTACAATCATATACTCGTCCAAATTTGTATCTATATGTTAGATATATATAATCAATCAATGAAAAACAATTCTATTCGCGCAGATTTGATCTCTTCAATGCCACCTTTTTTATATGCAATGCAAAGCAAGTTCTTTCCAATACTACTTCCAAATGCCAGTGCACAGATTTGATCTCTCAATAAATGTTTTTTTAATTTTTCTGTATATTTATGAATGAAAAGAAAAAAAAACTATCATGTACGGTTGCAGTTGTTTCTAGGAGCATCTAAAAGCAATTTAACCGCTGACAATCGCCATATTATAGCGTTGGATTAGTGTGGAATGGTTAGCTTAATACGAACACTGTTTAACTTATCTTGTGCCGTCCATTCTTGCTACTAATCAATCTGGACCATCTGTTTGGAAACAAACCTAGAAGCGCCCGGCCCATTCCCATCTCCCCTCGGGTCCTATCGGCACCTTGGTGGTGGTTCGACCAACTAAAAAACCCCAATACGAATTAGTTGTCCCAACCCGTTGTTGCTTCATCTTCATTCTCTCCACCCATTGCTTCATCTTCATTTTGACCCGTTGCCTGTACTTGCCCTGCCTCGAGCACCTTGCATTGTCATCGTGGACAACGCCCCGTGAAGGTTAGATGGATTTGGTCACCCCCTGTTTGCATTTGGTTCCAATTGGTTTTGGGTTTGGTATCAGTTTCGTTCATATTAGGAATTTCTTCATTGCAACAGATGTCTTACTTCGGAAGAAGCCATTTCAATGCGAGCAACCTTGCGTTTTGGCGGCTAGGGGTGGCACCAGGA